TAAATGATTTAAAAACTTGATAATTTTCAAATATTTTTTTAACACGTTTCCTTGTTTCCCTGTTAATTTTTTTATTAGGCAGTGTTATTTTTTTCTTTTTTTGTCGTTTGGTCTTTTAAAAAAGACTGTCATGCCCGTTTTATTTTTTCTTAACATTTTTCTGCACATGGATATTATTCAAACCAACTAACAAATAAGAACTAGTTTAACTAAGATATTATATCGAAGATATAATTTTAATATTTTTTCGGGATTTACGCAATAGAAACATCAGAAATCCCGAACATATATTTTCAAGCCGATAAAATTTTGTAGTATTAGGCGATGTACTTGGAGTGTCCAAAACAGATTCACTATCAAGTACATTTCAACCACCTTAAATGTCATTGTTATTGAATATATAAATTAATATATACATTACCAATAACAAACATGTTCACTTATTGTTGTAATACATTCTATAACACAGTTTGTTGTAATTTAATTTTTTGAAAAGATAATAGTTTGCTGGCTTGTTTGTTTTGCGTTTTTTCAATTCTCCGTAATACGTTCCGTTGTTTTTATCCAACTTATTGGTGTGATTGTTTTCAACCTTTTTACTAAAAATCTATCTAAAATTCAATTTGATTATTTTTGAGATGTGAACAAAAATTCTGAGTTGGTGAAAATAAAATTGAAAAATAAAACAAACTATATGGTTCTTAAAAACAACTATATTTTATGTTTCAAAAAATAAACTAATTATTAATTAGTGATAAAAAAATAGCGGAATAACAAGATAGATTAGACTATCGAAACAAACACCGTTGTCTTTGTTCTTTCAAACATATTAATTTTTTAAACATATTCAATTTGACAAAAAAATAATTGTGAATATAGTTTCTTAAACAACGCGTCGAAAGTAAAGAACTATTACTCCAACTATCATCTTCGGGACAACATCGTTTTCGTTGTTGTTTGAAAACAGTAAAACCTTGCTAATTTTACAAAGTTGTTATTTATTATCAATAAAATGGTATAATTACGTTAATATCATAATTAATTTATAAAATCAAATGAAAATATTATCATAGTAATACATTCAAAGTAAATGGTTTGATATTAATAAAAAATAGTAAGTAAATGGTTTAGTTATTCAAAAAATAGTATTAGGCAAAAAAGGTATTATGGTGAAATAAATTAACAGAAAAAATACACAAAAAATAAAACCTGTTAACTAAGATTTGAAAAACACATACAAATTTATACTTATAGTTGATTTTTGTGTTTAAAATAATACTATACATATAAAATACATTATTAAATACCAATTGGGGTTTTTATAAAATAAAACCCCTTAAGCAAATGAAAAACCCATTGATAGAAACCTTTATAAGTCAGAAAAAAAAACACATTGTGGTTTTAAATAACCTCTGCCAATAGTTGATGGTTACTCTTTTGTTCCAACTGGATTTGAAAGAAAAACTTTCTGTTGTAAAACAAAGGGTTGTTTGGTTTGTGTGGACATGCTCTAATCTGTTGGTATCGGAGAAAACGAAGTGTTTACAAAAGTTAAATACAAAAATGGTTCAATTCATATTCATGATAAAAATGTTACACCTGGAAGAAAAGAAGAAAGAAAACAAATAACAAAATTAATTATAATAAAGGTAGGAATTGCTTTTTTGGAAACCAACGAACTTGTTTCTTTATATCAAGATGAATATGGAAAGAGTTGTTATAAAAAATAAACACCCAGAAGATACATAAACCAAAAAAAGAAGAAGTGTTTAATAAAAGTAAAATGTATTTTGAATGGTAATGATTATTGGACTTTCAAAGATAAAATATTGTTTATATTTTCATCATTGGAAAAAATATAATTATTAAAAGGAATAGAAATGACTTATTTATGTCTTGGCGGAACATTTTCTTCTGCTCCCAATGAATGGTATCAATTATATAATATTTATTGTGTTCTAAATAATTGAGTTTGTCTTCCTTTGTTTTACTGTTTAATGAATAGCAAACCAGAATTATTATTTCAAAAATGTTTTATTTTCACCTGTTTTTCACCAAAAACTTGCGTGATGTTGGATTTTGATATAGCTATGTTAAACACTTTAAAGAGGTACGGATGTCTTCGTCATGGTTGCTATTTTCACTTTTGCCAAATTTTATGGCGAAAAATAAATGAATTGGGAATGAAACCTTTTTTTACCTGGGAGTTTTATATAAAAAACAGCCAAAATTTAATGGTCATACCATTTTTAAACCAAGAGATATGATTGCACAATTTGAAATAGTAAAAAAAGATATTATAATAACACTTGAATTAAAAAAGTGTGATCCATTTTTAAAAAAATAATATTTTGGCATTTGTTGACTATTTTGAAATGAATTGATGTAGAAAATGGCCATTGCCTTTATGGTGCTAGTACAAACAGTCGTCGAGAATAAATAATATCAGTAAGAGTCATCACTCAGCTCTTGTTAAAAGACTGTTTTTGAAAAAATCCATCTTTTGAAGTGCTGTAACTGAAATTGGTATCATTCGAAAATGAAGCAATTAGAGTTGAAGAAATGAGCCAACGCCCATCAAAAAACATTAAAAGTGTAATTAAAAACAAATCATTTTTTGCAGCAACCACTTCGTTTTATTCCAATTCGATCATAAGTAAAGAAATTTACCAAGCTATTATGAAAATACAGACCAGAGAAAACTTGGAATTATCTTTCGAAAAAGCTGTGGTCGAAGAATGTGTTCTTGGAGATTGGAACATTGAAGAAATAAACATCAAAGATGTTGGTTTTGTAAAAGATCATTTGAGAAATCGAACAACAGAAAGTTAATAAGTAATAAATGATGATAATGAATCGATTGAAGGAGAGTTTGTAAAGAATTCATGTGATGATCAGGAACTAGGAGAAACTATAAATATTGAAATTGATAGTTCCGAAATAGTAAACAATGAAAAAACAATTAAAAAACAAAAATAAAACAACAAAATGTTCACACGAAACTGATTCTAAAAATTAAAAACGAAAGAACTTATTTATGACAAATATGTAAAAACAACGACTATAAAATACTAGAAAAATGATGGTGATTGGATATGTCCATCTCGTAAAAAACAACCTGGGTGTGTTCTTAAAAAGAAACGTTCGAGAATATATAAACAATAACATTTATCAATTAATTAACAAATAAATTAGTTATTAAAATAAACTGTTTTTCAAAACTCTGTACCGTTTCCAAAATTTATATAAACCCTTTGTCTTAGTTTCCCGTTATTTACTATTTTTTATTTGTTTTATTTTTTATTTTCCTATTTGTTGAACCAACAACGGTACACAGTTTAAAACCCTTAAAAAATACAATTTCAATTATTGAACAAACAATCGGGAAATCACCCAAATATTGGGTAAATCTTCCCCAATTTTCTAGGTTTGTTATTTGGTCAGTGGTTTATTTTGTGACTAAACGTGAGTAAACAACCCATTTC